TGGGTTGAGGCGGTCCTGCTTTGTGCTCTAGGCCAACATACCTAGGGCGGCCCGGATAGACTGCAGACCCGGTAAGGGCGCAATAGTCAGGCCGAAGGCCCGACGAGCGGTCCGGATAGGCTGTAGGCCCTGCGAGGCGGTCCAGACGTGTCGATGGCTCGGAAGCGGTCCAGATAGGTTGTAGGCCCTGCGAGGCGGTCCAGTCAGGCTGATGGCTCAGTATGCATGCTGTTTGTATGATATTGTTATGGTTTGTATGGCGTTGGTATTTTGGGGGAACTCACTAAGCTTCGGGCTTACAGTTGTTGATTTTGTTTAAGGTACTTCAGATGATCGTGGGAAGGCAAATTGGTGAAAAGGACACCTATTAAACGGTCATTTTGTAGGTTGTTTCCTTATACCTCAATTATAGTGTGACTTCGTGAATGAGGCCTACTCTTGGTTTGACTGACTTTATGTTATACATATAATATTATAACTCTTACATATATATATATATATATATATATATATATGCATGGTGTATTTTAAAACCTTTTAAAAATGCAAAGTTTAAATTTAATTATCTTAATTAACTTTTAGTTAATTAAACTTTTAGACCATTTACATTTAATATTTATATTTTAAGTAAACAATTAGTTAATTTTGTATTAAATCTTTTAAAGGATAAATCCATTACCTAATTATGTTATAATTGGATAATTACCTTTTATAACTTCCTCAATTTTCAAATATGAATTTCTTAATTATCTAGTTTTAATATTCAAATTTTAACAATTTAAAATAATATTAAGTGATTAATAATTATCCTACAATTTGAAAAAGGCAAGTAAATCTCAAATCTAATTTCCAGGAGATCGCCACGATGTGGCAGAGGACTGACCGCGTTGTGGGTTTAACAAATTATCGATTTTTAGGTTTTTGATTTCCAGTTTCATAACATGCACTTATAATTGAAAAGTTTTTGCTCTGATACCACTGATGAGTTTTCTAGATTACAACATATACATCAGATTTACTCATAAACTTTTATGGGCACATGCAACCTAGAACTGTATGACATTTTCGCTATTATAGCAACATACTTTATGAAACAACATTTAACCTACTAAGATAAAAAAAATACAAGGATTAGAATCATACATTTAGTATATTCAAATATACTAACTCTTGGGTTATTCAAATGCTCCATGGAAAGCTTACATCTGATAATGTGAATGTCTCTAATAATTCACACCCAAAACTCTAGAACACTAGAACTTGAAAAATAGAGGTGAAAGAAGTGAAGTTCGTATTTTACAATCTAGGTATGATAAATCATAAAATTTTGATGCAAATTTGAACAATTAAATATTATATTTAATCGTCGGTTCAAATCATATTCTTATTAGTTACCAGGAGGATTCCAGAAACCCTAGAAGCTCCCTTAAAATCGTCCCCAACATGATAGGTTCTAGAATTGCTTCTTTTGTTCAACTATTGAACAATTACAAATCACCACTTGCACTTTTAATTAGTTCCAGTTAATCTCGAATTAATTTCAGATTAATTCTTATTAATAATTAATCAATTCCAACTATTTCTAATTAATTCAAAATTAACTATTAACTATTTCCAATTAATATATTAATCATATAATATATATTAATCAATTCTAGCTATTTTCTGGTTATGAGGGAAACCCAAAAAGGGCTTTACTTTTTGCACTAAGATTATACCAATTTAGTTAAAAACTTAGACACCTTAATCTAACAGATCCGTTCACCAAAACTCAACAAAAAAAGGCCAACACTCTCTCAAGAACACACCAAGGGCTAGGGTTTCTCTTCTGGAAAAGTGGATACTGAAATGAGACGAAACCCTAATTAACACCTTCCTTAAATATGGTCCAAGGCCCGAGATCTAGGATTCGGTGCCCAGCCTCCACCGTGCCACTGTGCATACCTTACCGCGCGTGCCATTTACATGGCGTGGCCGCGACACGATACCCTAACTACCACGTCGTGGCCAAAGGTTTTCCCCAAAAACCTTATTCTCAAATCCTCTAGTCTGTAACCTATCAATCTAGAAAACGGATGTTACACAAGCCAAATCGACACGTCGTCATAGCATGTTGGTTACCGACCAAGGACACAAAAATAAAATGTTTTCGAAAATATAATGGTATATAAGGAACAAAAACAAATATTTAAGCTAAAACGGAACAAAACTATATATATATATATATATATATATATATATATATATATATATATATATAGGGTAACCCTAATCAAATGAACTTTGATAAATTTAGGGGTTGTTTGGTAGCATCTAGATGATTTGATGGAGATGCATGAATGATGTAGAGGCTCTATATGAAACTATATCTTAATGATAAATTATCTAGATGATTTGATGGAGATGCATGAATGATGTAGAGGCTCTATATGAAACTATATCTTAATGATAAATTAATGTTTGGTTGGACATCTGAATGTCTTCCTCTTAACGATGAAAATGACAATTTTAACCCTATGAAACATCAAGAATTAGCAACAAAATTACCACACAGAACATCAAGAATATTTTTAAATTTTTAAGCAAACACAAACACATGTTTCCAAATTTTCAAGCAAACACAAACATATTGTTATTTTCTGATTTTCACAGATAGAGCATCAAGAACAGTAAAGAAATCGATTTCATACAGACTCAAATAGAGCGGCAAGAACATAGCAGAAAAATCGATTTCGTACAAGCCAAAAAAACATAGCAAGAACACAGCCAAACACCTATTCCATATACAAACCAAGCAGAATGTTTGTTAGGGCCTGAAAAAATCGACCAAAAAGATTAGGCTGAAAAAATCGACCCAAAAGAAAAATGCAAAAAACTTACCGGCGAAGGGAGTGGCGGCGAGAATAGGAGTTGACGAAGGCGAAGGCGCAGCGGCGATGTCGGAGGCTGGCAGGGGAAGGGGTCGGCGACTGAGAAGAGGGAGGAGTGTTTGACGACATAGCAAGAGGAAGAAAGAAAAGATCGAACGTTTTTTTTAGGGCGAGGGTATCTGCAATAATGTTTTTTTTTCATCTCTTATCAAATAAGACAAAATTTTGTCATATTTGATCTAGACAAAATTACATAAATGGTCCCTGTGGTTTGCCAAAAGTCATAAAATCAGTCTCTATTAATTTTTTTATGTAAATGGTCCTTATGGTTTGCAAAACTTGCACTGATGACCATTTTTACTAACTCCGTTAGTATTCAGTTGTTAGGGACTGAATCTGCAAATGCATTTTCGTTTTTTCAAGTACAAATCAACTGAATTCGTGACATTTGGTAAACCACAGGGACAATTTTTGAAATTTCTTTGAAAAAGACATATAACCGAATAGGTTTTATATGTTTTTTTAAATACATATAACCGAAAAACGATTTTTAGAGAAAGTATTTTTTAAAGACATAAAACAACATATTTTACGTAAAATAAATACATAAAAATACATATAAATTTTTTATAAAAAACTTTTTTTATAATACGGAAAATACATTTTTATTTAAAAAAAAATATGTAAAAAATGTTTTTTGTAATTTATCGATTTTATTATTATATATACGAGTTTGAGAAGGTAAAAACCAAGTTGGCGAAGTGGTTAAGTTGATGGGCAATATAGAAGGGTGGAGGTTACGAGTTCGTGCCTCCCCTAGCAATTTAATTATCTTTTTCAATGAAATTTCAAAAATGGTCTCTATGGTTTACTAAATGTCACGAATTCTTCATTTATATTTGAAAAGAGGAAAATGTGCTGATTTAATTATCTTTTTCAATGAAATTTCAAAAATGGACCCTATGGTTTACCAAATATCACGAATTCAGTCCTTTTATACTTGAAAAGACGAAAATTCTGTTACAGATTCAGTCCCTAACGGCTTTTTCAATGAAATTTCAAAAATGGACGCTATGGTTTACCAAATGTCACGAATTCAGTCCCTTTATACTTGAAAAGACGAAAATTCTGTTACAGATTCAGTCCCTAACGGCTGAATCTAACGGAGTTAGTAGAAAGGGCCATCAGTGCAAGTTTTGCAAACCATAAGGACCATTTACATAAAAAAAAATTAATAAGGACTGATTTTGTGACTTTTGACAAACCACACACATTTGTATAATTTTGTGTTTGATGGGTCAAGAGGTAAAAATGTGTAACGTTATTCCAAAGCCATCCTTGTTATTGGATCATTAAAAGGCCAGCAAACAACTCCTTACTGAAGTTCCTCCATCTTCTATTCAATTCAACAAATTATTGAATCACCCGCCTATTAACCTAGCCTCCTCCTCTGACCGCCCTACTCCTACACCGTCGACCATCCGTGCCATCCCCCCTCTGCTCTATGCCGTAATTGAAGCCAGGTAATATTCTGCCTCATTATTCCGATTCAATGGTTGCTTCTCGATTGGTATGTAGTATGTTATGCTGTTTTGGGGTTCTGCGATTAGGTTTTTGCTACTACTTCTATGGTGTGTTTTGCTTCACTACGCCGATTTTTCGTTTGTTTGTGTGTGTTTATACGTGATATGCCTAGAAGGAGACATTAGTTTGCAATCGGTGCTACATTGGTTCATAGCTAACGTTTTATAGTTGCGTTTACAGATTTTAAAACCCTATGTTTGTTCAGATCAAAGTTACTTTGATTACGATTCTCTTCCTAGCTTAATAGCTAGATATATGCACATTTGTTTAAATTTTAAATTGCAGCAGTCTTCGAAGGCACTCATGTCAAACATCTATACACATACTAGATAAACTTCATAAATTAACAATCTCTATTTCATATTTGTCTTGTTGATTTACTTACTTTCTCCATTTTTTTTTCTATTTTGTAAGTGGCATTCGGATTATTTTGCTCAAGAATTCTGTCTTTTGTATTTGATGCAGCTGTGAACTGGGTTCTTGACTGTTGATCCAAACATGAGGAACTGTCATACTGAGGATCACACCAGGAGGACAATGAGAAAAATGTTTGATATTAGAAGTTCTGAATTTAATTCTAGTAAAAAACCGTTTAAAAAAGTGACAAATGCCCCCAAATTTGGGGATGAAGTGGATCCTGACTATTCATGGCTTCTTAATTTCTTGAATGAAAATATGGAACAGACAAAACCCCCAATGGAGGATATCATCAGAGATGAAGATGAAGATGAAGATGACAATGAACATGAAGATGAAGATGAAGATGATGATGATGATGAAAATGAAGATTCAAAGTATAAAGATCCTCAATATTGCATGTTTTTGAAGCAACTCACAGAAAATGGCAAATCATATAAGCTTAAAATCTCAAAAGACAATGAAGCTCCTTGTTTTCTAGAATATGAACAACCTTATAACCCTTCAACTGATATGAATATTACCCTTTGTAATACTATAATGAAAGATATGCAAATCGATCATAGGAGTAAAAGGAGCCCAAATGGAAAAAAGAGGAAGATTTTGATGAAAAAAGAAGTTTCATCAAAAATCAAGACAGAACCCCAGAATAATTTGGGTGTGGATTCTTGCTACCAGTTGTTTCTTAAAGGTTACATGCCTTCTGAATATGGTGCATTTGTTTATGAAGGAAAACGGGTGAATTATGAAGAGAAAGTTACAAATTCAAATTCAGATTCAGATTCAGATACAGATTCTGATATGATGATTTGGGATAAAGTTCGGGATTTGAGTGAAGCAAACAAGAAACAACTAGTACCTACAAAAAAAGAACCATCTGTATGTAATAAATTTACATTTTTGGTCCCTGGGTATAGCTGATTTTTTTTTAATTTTGGTCCCAAAAACATTGTCATTTTACTTGGAATAGGGATAAAAAAAACGTTACAAAAACCTCAAATAAGGACCAAAGTTGAAAAAAAATCAGCAATACTTAGGGACCAAGTTATTCGATCTTTGGTGTGTGCAAAAAGACATGAATGCCCTTCTGATCCTCATCATGGATATTTTTATTTATTTCAGTTAAAGGAGAAGTTGATGCGTATTCTTAAGAAGCCATATAATCAAAAAGAGTATGAAGAACTTTCAGAATATATAGAGGAAAAAAAGCCAATATGTCGTCTTTTACCCTTGCGTGACAGGGCAATATCATCTGCTCTTGTTGGAGTCACAAAATCTGTGCTTGATGATGGCCCATGTATGTCTCGTTTTTTGATAAATGACTGAAATACCCTTTCTCTGTTTTCATTTGATTATATTTAATTTTTTTTCATTAATTTAATGATGCAGCAACTTTTCGAAGGAAACTTAAAGCTGTGAAGAATGATCGACCTCGAGCTCTTAATCTCTTGCGGATGTTTCGCTTCTGGTTAGAAGTAAGTATAATTATGTTCATTTGTTTATTATAAGTTATAACTTATAAGAAAAAAGATTGAAGTTACTTTCATTTCTTTCATATAACGTGTAAATCTACTTTATGTGTACAGCATCTTCCAAATGAAAAGATTTTCAAACCATGGTTATGTCAGGAGTTTATGGAAGTGTTGCCATCCAGCCGTAAAAAATCCCACCTGGATAAATGACTTGTTTTTTTGTTATTATTATTATTAACTTTTTTTTGGTCATAAATGAAAGCAACAAATGTAAAAGGTGGTTAAATGTCGGTTTTTTGGTAGTTAAATGTCGTTTTTAGGTGCAAAGTAAATGAATGCATCCCTGATGATATGTATTTTTTGAGATGTTTGTTGAAAAATGCATCAATGGTCTAACGATGTTATTATATTTTTACAATGTTTGTGTATAATTCGATTGTTCATGCCACGTGAAGCCTTGTTAGTGGTTCTTGTTTTTTTTAACCAGACTATAAATTACAAATTTATTTCTTTTAAATAAAAAACAAACTAAACCAATATTCATAATTTTTTCCCTTACAAATAGAGACCAATGCTAATGTGTTTTTTATATTTATAATAATAATATTAAAAGAATAAATTTTAGTTTTTTTAAGTAAAACATTTTTTGATATCTTTGAAATAAGTTGATTATAAATAATAATATATACTAATAAAAAATAAAATGGTTGGGTTGTATATGTTGATAAAAAAAAAAGATAATACTCTTTTAAATAAATAAAATTGAATTGAGTTTGTTAAACAATAATGATGGTCAAGTTCTTTTTCCTGGAACCGGTGTTACCTGACAAGTTGTGAATCTATTTGTATATATGTTTCATGATCACATTTGATTCATGTATAGAAATTTGGTGAACTTTATATGATGATGTATGATTTATGCATTATTTAGTTATAATTGATGAATCTTTTATTCACAATAATAAAAATATTTAAACATATATTTAACTCATTAGTCCCAAATAAGAGCAGAATAAATAAACAATTTTATTATTAAAAAAAAGATTGTGATTTAATAAAAATTCTAAAAAAGTTGTCAATAAAGTTATATAAATTAAAAAAAAAAAAAAAAAAAAAGGTTATGCTATAGTTTTTACTCCATTCCTTAATACATGCTACATTAAAGAAATGAAAAAAAAAAAAAAAAATCACATTTCTTCCGGAGACATTTTTTTCTGTAACAATCTAATAAACCACTCCAGTTCTTTTCCCATCGCTTCATATACATACAACCAGCTTTTGAAAAAAATTATAAGCATTTAAGTTTTAGTTAATGAAAAAATGCAAATTAAAAAAAAAATCATTTGAGTGTATGCATTTAGAACTTTTATATTAAAACAAAAAAAGTAAGGCATCTCATTATGAGTCCTTGCTCATTATCTTTTGGTCGTGACTTGTGATGTTAATGTCCAGAATCACATTCTTTGATTATTTATGCTCCTTTCCTTTTTCATCATTATTTACTTTATCAATCCTAATTATTGGCGTACGAATCATATTATAAACATCTTTTGATATATTTTAAATGGTTCAATATGTATTTACAATACTGTTTTAGTTCTTTTGTTTTTTCCAGTTAACGCAGCAGTGATTTCTTGTATGAAACATGTGACAAGACATTTCTTGTATTTTACCTTTAGCATGTTGAATCATGATCACATAAATTGGTTATTTAAAAATATCAAAAAATATTAAACGAATTATTTTCAAGTAAAAACCATACAAAAACCAATGAATAAATAATAACAGTTAAGATATTCTTATTTTAATTTTATTAGGAAGCATGATTCCATTTTTACACTTGAAATTTGATCTCACAAAAAAGAGACCATCCTAATACACTTAATTAATCCCAGTCGACACAACACCCCCAAAAAAGAAAAAAGTTAAAAAAAATTTACACACACACACACAGAGAGCACCTTCTGTCAGTCAAAACTGGATGACCTACTCCACCTGCCACGTAGATAATCCTCTAAAGACACACTTTCCTCGACACTACTCATTGAAAGAGAGGAATCCTCTACATCAAGCAATGCAAGGTTAAGATGCGACCGCAAATTCGATTGAGAAAATCCTTCCTCTTCCAATACTTGTAATCTCGCATCCGACCCACCTGTCGAATCCACCTCCAACCGGGCCCACGCCATCACCTCAACGTCCCCACCAAGTAGTTTCACCACCTGTGTGTTTGGTTAATTAATACAGAATACAGAAAGAACAACTTAATACAGATATAATAGTAATATCTTTACATTGCCTATATTATATTGGTAGATAAGTATAACTAACCGTGGTCATATGGGGTCGAGCCCGTGGTGCACGCCTGATGCACAAAGTTGAAGCTAGAGCCATCCTCTCCATTTCATCAGCATCATACTTATTTCCTAAGCTTTCGTCTAATAACTGAAGAAATTTCCCACTACTCAAAATTGGCTTCGCCTGCACAAATTCATTTGTCTTTTAGCTCTGACACTGACACTGACACTGAGAGAGAGAGAGAGAGAGAGAGAGAGAGAGAGAGAGAGAGAGAGAGAGAGAGAGAGAGAGAGACGTACCCACATAACCAAGCTCTCTTGGCCTTTTGGGTATCCACTGTTTATTGGTTTTCTTCCGGAAAGAAGCTCAAGAAGAACAACTCCAAATGCATACACATCAATTTTGTCGGTTACTTTTCCATACATGAAATACTCGGGAGCTAAATAACTGCACCATGAAAACAGTGGCATTTCTGTAAAATGGAATATATAAAAAGTAAAAAGAAGAATTGAAGTTGATAAAGTTATAATTTACAAACCCGAAAGTTCCTGCAACATCTGTGCAAGTTATATGAGATGAGGTGGTTGAACCCCATTTTGCAAGCCCAAAATCGGAGAGCTGAAACAACAAAAATTGTTTACAAAGTTTAATCATTTACAAAAAATTGAAAATTAAGGAAATAAACGATGAATAATAAATAATAAATCACCTGTGGTTCAAAATCATCAGAGAGTAAAATGTTTGATGATTTAACATCCCTATGGATTACAGTTTGATCACAGTTGCTGTGTAGATAAACAAGTGCCTCAGCTACACCTAGAGCAACTTTATACCTTTCAGACCATCCAAATGCCGGATCTTTCTTGTTGCCTAAAAGAAAATATTATGAAATAAGATTAAAAAAAATCATATTCCATGTGTATGAGAGTTGTGTTCTTTTTAAATGTAAATGAGCATACTGTGTAAATTGTCTTCAAGACTTCCTCTTGATAGGAAATCATAAACTAAGAGGAGATTGTTGTCTTCAAAGCAAAACCCAAAAAGGGAAATGATATTTTGATGATGTAGAGCAGTAATAATCTCAATCTCTAACACAAATTCTTTCAAGACATCTTCAGATGATTTCAAGATTTTAACAGCTATTTCCTTCCCATCTGGAAGGCATCCTTTGTAAACCTTACTATTCCCTCCTTTTCCTATCATGTTCTCTGAAAAGATTCAAGAAAATAGTAAATCAGCAACGAAAATCCAGATAATAACATTTCTAAGATAGCAAATAGAAGAGCACAAACCGGGTTTGAAGTTTGATGTTGCTGATAGAAGCTCTCGATACTGAAACAATCTACAAGTGGCTGAGTATTTTTCATGAAGACCCTCTAATTCTTTTGGTAAACGAATTGAATCATGATCTGGGGAAGAAGATAGATCAGATTGAAATTCATCATCACCCACACAAACAATTGCTCCATTTTCTGGAATTATGTCTAAGGATCTGTCTTTTTCATCATCATTTTGGGAATCTGAGTTTGTGATTTGAAAGCAATGTCTAGTGGGAAGCCTCATAGCCCACTGAACCACTGAGATCTGGTGGACACGGGATTTATCAGATGAAATGGCTCGTTGAAGGAGTGGCCAACCAGGTTGGAGTTCAGGCAACTCTCTTAGTAACAAAGAAGTTGAACTTGATGAAGCTTCTAGCTTCTGTACAGGTACTAGAGCCATGGAGTTATCTTCTTCATCATCACCATTACCACAAGTAACCTCATGAACAGGAAGAATCGAAGCCACTGAACAAATCGGACAATTATCTTTGAATGCAATTGGTGTGCACTCAGATTCAGATTTTACTACAGCCAGATCCAGTTTCTTGCAATCACTTTGATTGCATTTTACTTCATCTCCATTGTTTAGTAATGTTGGATTCAAGCTCAACGATCTCTGAATCAAACTGAGTATTTGATTCTTATGGTGATCTGAACTCCCTGCAGTGTAACGGAATCGATATCAAATGCATAGTTTTTCTTCAAATTGAACAGAAACGGTACGGAGAAAGGTTCGATTGATTACCTTTTGCACAAGATGCAGATGATGGGGATTGTCTATGGAACACGATTTTTCCGCTATTGACGGCAATTATAGAACAGTTTTTTGGTAGTTTTTTAGCACAGTATTTTGCTACGGAGGATGATGATCTAATTGTATGATGAGCTCGAGCTGTTCCAACGATAATCTCATTCGCATTATATGATTTAGCTTCTCGAACGAGAATTTTTCGAATTGAAGTACCTCTGCAGATCTTTAACTTAAGATCCACCTGCAAAACGGGAAAATTCAGATGAATTGAGGAAGAATTTTCGATATTGATTTATTTATAAAATTGAACTTGATAATTATTTCAGTTGAAAGAATTCAGAAACCTACCTGTTTGAGGTTACAAAATCCTTCGTATACAGCGAGAATGGAGTCAAACGAGTTTACAAGAGATAGCAACGACGATTTTCCTTCACGATCCAGAATTTCTTCACACAAGACAGAAAGTCAGAAACACATTCAACTAATTGACAAAATAACAACAAAATTGAAGTCAGTAATCCTACCATTGTTGGTGAGAACATGAAGAGCGACAACACGGTCACCAGGTTGAGCTTGTTTGACTAAAGCCCAAGTGAGCAACTCTCTACTCTGTGAGTCTAGCTTAACTCCAACCACAACTGTCCGACCTCCGGCCACACTCCGATCCCTGTACTCTCCGGCAAGCTCCGTTTGACTCATCTTAGGAAGAAGTTCACTGTTGTTGACTAGAGATTTGGAGGAAAATGTAGCAGCAAACATTGGGTTATCATGGGGAAATGTAGCTGAAGAAAAGCGTGACTGGTTGGGTCCCCGTCGAGGAGATGAACAGTGGCTTAACCGTTGCCGTTCTCTTTGCCTTTATTAGGTTTGCCTTTCATGCTTTCCGGCTGTGCACAGAGGGGACCCCAGCGGACCTCACTCACAAGCCACAAGTCACAAAGCAAGCACTACTAGCTTTTTTATTTGTCTCATTATTCATTTGGAAAACTATATATAAATCTAAGAAAGTATTTCTATAGTAAGGGGTACTAATATAAAAGTTCCCGCATAAAGTTCAACCATCATTATTTTATTTTATTTTCTAAAATTATCGATATTTTTTTAAAAAATAATTGCAGCCATTATTATCTGTTGCAATTTAAAAAAAAAAAAACACTCGTTTATAATATACATTCATATAATATAGGGTTATTGTCACTGTAGTCCAACAATGTTTCGTATATTGGTTTAAATTGTCTCTCGTGACTTTTTTTTGCCTTTAAAGGTACGAACTTGTGTTTTACCGGTTAATTTGGTACATTTACCTATTTTTGAAGGTTACACTGCCTTTATCACCTGCCAACTAAGCAGGTGAGTCAACAATGACTCATTGGTGAGTCGACTCATCGTTGCCACGTAAGTAAAATCGACTGGGGAGGAAAAGGATTGCACCTGCCAAACGAAATCGGAAGTAAAATCGACTGGGGAGGAAAAGGATTGATCCTCGTCGCTCCAAGGGGAAAGAACGATCGCAGATGTGCGATCGATTGAAAAAGCGGGAAATCAGGGTTTAGAAATCGATTAGTCAAAGGGGAACGACCGATGATTGGCTAGAAGGAAGCACGTAGGTGCGTAGTCTGCTACTCCAGATGCCTTGGCCGATCGTGTTCGCCTATGGGGCTTGACGAGGCCGAAGGGAAGGAAGAAAGGGGAAGGCATCGAGGTTTCTTGCTTCGGTTGTGGTAGCGAGCTGTGAAAAGGTGTTCGGTGGTGTTGATAAAGGAAACGATCAGCGACAGGGCTCGGGCTCGGGTGGTTTGGCAACGAGGGTCGATGGGACGGAAAGGAAAGGGGATCTTGTCTTTGGCCAGCCGTGGAGGTGTTAATAGTCATCGATCATCAACAGGTAGAAGAAAATTCTCCATCTTCTTCTCCCAAGTGGACTTGCTTATTGACCTAAGTGCGTGAACAGCTGACATGAAATTTGTTTTCAAAGGATCAACGCCCATTTCCACAACTTCTTCCACGACCTTTTTGAACTGTTCTTTAGTACCTGAAATATCTCTAGGGTGGTAAGTTAATACATAAAGCATCTTTGATCCAGGCACACCAACATCACGCAATAACTGCATATTTGGAATCACATTTGCTTGGGAATCCAAATCCAAGACCCACGCACACCTCCTGATTGCAAGAAGAGTTTTTTCATTGGATTGGAGTAAATCTCTAAGTAAGTTAAAGGTAGGTTCTATACTATTCTTCAAGCTTTTACGAAGGGATTTGGGTCTTGCAATTAGTATCTTGACAATATCAGAATCTGAAAGTCCTACAGAACGTAAGAACTCAAATTTGGGAAAAAGGTTTGTTTGGGGATTACATGTGAGAGCCCTGGGAAACTTTCGCACTAAATGAGATATTTGGGTTTCTGTGAAGCCTTGATTCTTGAAAAATGCTATCACAGAGTCTGCTCGATCTGGGGTTTGGATGTTTAAGCATTTGGAAGCTGAAATCGCCTTGTCTGGAGGGAATCGGCATGAGTTTATTAGGTAGGAAACTGTGAATGAGTTATATGATGCTGCTTGTGACGAATATGATGTGCGAGGAAATAATCTATGAAATCGCCTTCTCTCTCTCTCTCTCTCTCTCTCTCTCTCTTTTTATTATTCTTGTCAAAAATTGAAGAATGGAATGGGTGCTGGGGTTATTTTTTGATAGGAATCGATAGAGGAAATGGGTGTTTATTATAAGACAGAGAGGAAGGTGGAATGGTGGTAGGGTGTGACGGTGCATGGTGGTTTTAGGGTTGTAGCAACCACCGATTGCTGTTGTGAATTTGATGGGAAGCCATATGTTCTTGGGTGGGAACGAATAAAGGGAATAATATAGGCAGTCATCGGTGGAAGGAAACAGGGAATTAGGGCTTTCCGGCGATGTAGGGATGAGAGAGAGAGAGAGAGAGCGCTTAATTGATAAGAGACTTGATGAGGTGACATTTTTTTAACTTTAAACCTGCTGACTAGGAAGGGGTTCACCGGGTGACCCCTTCATTTTTTTAAAGGACTTTTTAAACCCTAAAAACATGAATTCGTACCCTTTAAAGGCAAAAAAAAGTCACGAGGGACCATTTAAACAAATATACGAAACATTGTTGGACTACAGTGACAATAACCTTATAATATATACAATACAATTTTTTTCGCTTAGGCTATTAGATTTTGGCAACGCCTTTTGAGAAAAAGAAGAAAAACGACGTCAATTGAAGGGGGTGGTGTTTGTGCGTTATAACGCCCAAAGACGCCTCGGTGGACGTTGTCCATACCCAGCAGTCTTAAATAAGTTTAGTCAGTTGGCATTTGTAATTGAATAAATATATATCACATTCACATATAAATAAATAAATAATATTTGGAATTTTACGACTTCATACAACATAGCCTTGTTGTTTAAGAATTTAAATCTTTTTTTTTTCTTTTGTCAAAAACATATTTCAAACTTTTGTGGCGGATGAAGATTTTGAGTTTTACCATGTATAAGTTAGTTGGACCGGTACTTTATATATGATGGATCCACTTAAACATCAAATCCATTCACCATACGGTTGATAAGCTGGAATTATTAAGCAAAAATTCAATATAGAAAATTTGTTATATAATCTTTCATTGCAAAGAAGTTCCAATATTTTCTTCAATTGTAGATATAGATGTTTATATATAGAAAACAAAATTTACAAAATTTAATTTATATTCAAATTTCTTTGATAAAAATATAAGACTAAAGTTTAAAAAAAATAAATAAAATAAATAAACAAAAAACGGATAGTGGCCACAATATATATATTTTTAAATATGAATAGTTTTATTAGAACAAAAAACTTGTAAAATCAACAAAATCTTGCAACAAACAGTTAAGAATTGACCACGACAAAGTTTTTTTAAAGTATAAGGTCATTGTGTATACCTTCGACAAAGACCATTGTGGTCTGCGTGGCCACGAAAAGTTTTCGTGCACACTATCCCGACCATTCGTGGTCGGGCGTGGTCGCACTCATCCGTGTTGCCGACGACGAACATAAACAACCAATTGGATTGCATTTTGCTTTTCTTGACTGTTCAACGGTCAGAATTTTGAATATATATATATATATATATATATATATATATATATATAGATATATATATATATATATATATATATATATATATATATAAACACAACAATTTAACAACCCATAAAGTCAAATCATTTTCTTTTACCAATACATCTTCATATTTCACAAACATTTCTTCTCTACCTTTATTTACTTTCAAAAACCATGGCTACCAAAATGCAGAGTTGGTCGGAAGAAGAAGAAGAGAAGTTAGTAGTGACATAGGTGACGGTTTCGGAAGACTCAGATAGTCGAACTTTCAAGGATTTTTGGGCAAAAGTTGGAAACGTTTTCCATGATTTAGTGGGTTGTTGCAGTCGTAATCTTGATGCAATATGTTCTAAGTTTCGCTTTATGAGGGCAACATGTCGCGAGTTCGACGAATTTTATAACTTGGTTATAAACAACGCACATGAAGACGATCTGGTTGTTGTGGTCATGCATCAATATGAAGACATAAACCACAGACTGTTTAAACATCTCAAAACTTGACTAAAATTTAAGGAGTTATCATGGTGGGATAATTAAAAAATGGGGTTTAGAAACTGGTTTAAGTTGTGTGTGCTTGCATTTTTATGTTTTTTTTATTTTATTTTAGTTGTTTTTTTAAAATTATGTAATATTTTTTATTGATAAAAAAACTAGTTTATAAAAATACCTTTTTATTGTATTTGCATTTTTATGTATTTTTTAATTAAATTTAATTAAAAAAACGAGGTGGAGTGGTGTGGTAGTGATAGTTATTCCATGATTTAGTGGTAAATGTGTCGTGATGATGTGGCACCTATCCTTATAATGGTTAGTTGTGGATATAATAGATAGTCTAAATGATTTTTTTAGGCAAAAAAACATATGACGGTTAAATCGTGACATTGGCTAAAATATAGCAACTTTTATAGTTGTTAACCCTTAAGATTAATTACATAAATGGTCATTCTTGCAAGATTGCAATAAATCCAAGAAAAATATTGTTTAGTTTGCGTATTCACTCCAAATTTATATATATATATATATATATATATATATATATATATATATATATATATATATATATATATATATATATATATATATATATATATATATCACTCAGCCTTATACTTTTATTTTTAAACATTTTTGTCTATGATCCATTAAAAATAGAGAAAATTACAAATTTAGCAAAAATACACTAATTACTTTGTGGAAAATAGTCAAAGAAAACAAAAATTGCATTTTTAGCCACTAAAATCGCAGATGGGTATAATCTATCTGCGATTTCGCCATGTCATCTGCGAACGTACAAGTAGCTAGCACAGACGTGCTTTAGTCACTTGTACGTTCGCAGGTGGCTTTTTTCTTTCGATGTATATATACCCCCTTTTCCAGTTTAAAATCGCAGATGGACATAGCGATTTCCTCCCCTTTTGACCTGCGATTTTGTGAATTTTTTTTGCTTTTTATTTTTTTATTTTGACTACGAAATTCATAGGTTTAACTACGAAACAACTTTATTATATATAAACTTTTTCAAAAATTATCATTTTTATTGTTATTTTTTTGGAAAATTTGTTTAAACCCTCTCTAAGGAAATCGTCCATGAGAGAGAGAGAGAGAGAGAGTTTCTCCAAGAAAGAGAGTGAAAAATGAAGGAAAAAAACAACGTTTTTATACTAGATCCCACGAAATAGCAGATGGATTTCACAAAATCGCAGATGAAAGGGAAAAATCGCAGATGGGTTTAATCCATATGCGATTTTAAGGCTATTTTTGTAATTTGGGTTTTTTTGGCTATTTTCCACAAAGTAATTAGTGTATTTGGCTAAATTTACACTTTTCTCTTAAAAATAACTATCTTATATTTTTTAAAATATTTCATCATTTATTTTTACTCATTTTTAAATTATAGATATATAAAATTAAAAAGGGTGCACCGCCCTAGAGGTTAGAGATGCACAAACCATATTTTTTTCAATCTATATCATTGTTTGTCAACAAAGTCAAATACCCTCATTCTTGTTGACTTTAGGACCGAAAACATATGCTTTAAGGAAGTGTTGGCCGAAAACACATGCTTTATGAATAGTCATGACCGAAATCCCAATGTGAAATCAATATCTTTGAAGGTAAGTTAAGTGATTTCGGTCATGCTAGATAGAAATCACCTTTTTTAGCCGAAAACTCCCTTAAAATATCTAGATATTTAGTCACTTAGGCGGTGTATACTCTTTCCAATATGATAAGTTACATATCCCAACGTAAAGATCACAATCTCATATATATATATATATATATATATATATATATATATATATATATATATATATATATATATGTCAACCGAAAACACCCTCACTATTTCCAATTCTTCACTCTTAAGTTACGTACAATTGCTCTCAAAACTCATAAGGAAATCCTTTGAATCTTCAAACCTTCAAAGCAGTTACCCAGGATATCTTCATATCTTCAAAGTATAGCCAAGAACACTTCACATCTGCATCCAAAATTCCCAGGAACCTTTTTCATTCTTTGTAAGTATTAAACCCAATCTAGTGTGATTTAACACTTTAATTCATTAACTTATCTAATTTATATACGATATTATGTGTATAAATATTATTAGGATACGGTTATAATCACTTATTCTATCCCGAGAATCATTCGCAACCACTTCGTATCCAAACAAGCACACACACTCAAGGTGAATTCATACCCCTACGTTTTTACGATTTTTAAATTGTTTTAGGGGGGAATACAAGTAAAACACAAAAAATCTTGTGTTTAAAAATATAAATTACTTATTATATTTTCTTACCGTTAATATGCAATTAAACGTGAAATTTATTAAATACGCAAAATATCGTGACTATTAAATTTACAAAGATTTACAAAACATGTTAAGACGCAACGGTTTTCACAATACGGAACAAACATACAAACTATAATAGGTATAGTTTATGGAACATAAGTACTATTTTACAAAGTTCAGGTACAATGCGGAAATAAACATATAAACTATAATAGGTATGGTTTATGGAACGTAAGTACTATTTTACAAAGTCCAGGGACAATACGGAAACAAACATATAAACTATAATAGGTATAGTTTATGGAACACATATACACTTTATTCATTACAAAGTTACATTTTTAATTACTAAAAGGGTTTTCAGTTTATTACTCGTAAACACGTTGAAGCAATTTGTGAGACGTCTTCGCGTACTTATCTAAGTACTAGTAAAAGTCATGCCTTATAACCAGAGTCTCTTGTAGGGAGAGAGAAATATTTATGTATAGATCTATTTGAGACTGACAATCTCAGACCTTAACTGTTAGCTACAGTTAGGCCGGCAGGCCTGGGGTGACAAATGTCGTTAACATTCTGACGCCTGAAGAACGTTGCGATCAG